CAAAATGCTCAGCAACTTACAAGTCGTCCGTGAAAAGCCTCTGGCGATGCTTTGTTGATTCCAGCAGTTTGATGTCCTCTTTTGTCAACGAAAAGTCAAACAACTGAAAAGTTTACATTTACCTGGGACTAGCAAATGAAATTAGTGGGAATCAACCTGGAAGTTCTCAATCACTCGTGCGGGCTTTATGGATTTCGGTATAATGGCGAATGCCTCGATCCATCACGTAGCGCAGCAAGATCTGAACAAAAGAGAGGTACAGAACGGCTAAAGTACATATGAAGGTGCAAAAATGCGGCTGGTCATAAAGACAGGTATATTCCTCGAGAGCAGTGCCAGGAAGCACTCTTGGCAAAGTTTATATACTCCACATCGCAGAGAAGGAGGAAGACGTGGCTTAGGGTGAGCCCTTGGTGAATGCTTCCATTTTTTCCACAACTGTCATCCTGTTTTGTGCTGAACAGAGACACAATCCCAACGAAAATATCCCAACAGAAGGGCAGCCGCCTCCGAGATCAAATGAAGCACGCGGCCACTCTAAATCTTCAGGAAATGGACTGTATGAATTGCGTGGCTGGTTCTTTCGTTTAAACAGGCTTCTAAAGGCAACCTAAGAAAAGCAACGGGTTCTCAGCAGAAATTTAAGTAGCTGACAATTTCAACTGCTCAACAACGAATAGTACTGCACCACCGTCCCCCACGGTTATAACTGATATGGGTTAGCGACCGATTTAGGAAGAATACAACCAGTGGTGAAAACGACGCGGGTGGGCTCACTCCATGCCTCAGGCTCCCTCCCTCTCCCCCCCCCCCCCGACCATGTGATGAGATCAACTGTACCATCCCCAGGATCCAGTGTGTTATAGACCCAGTTGCTGTTACCATCAGATTTCGTGCACATTCCAATAAACTAAAAGCCCTGCCGGGTCCCTTGGCACTTTCGCTTGGCTCTCCTTCGGCAGCAGGAGAGCAGTTGAAAGGCGGATGCCTACGCCTGCACCTTAAAATGGTGAGCGTTCTCTAGACTTGTTGCTGCTCTTGTATCTGAGCTGATGAAGTTCCAAGCTCTCGTCTAACCTTTTTAATGACAACTGGACAGTTCCTTCCGTATGGCCCTTGCCATGTGTCAGGTAAATGAGCCCGCAGCTGCAGAAGCGTGTCATTCCCTCTCGGTGATAAGTGCATTGGGAGCAGGATTAGAACGGTGCTGGTAGCCGGGGCCTTCCCCTCACTCCGCTCTCCTTGCAGCGACACTTGCGTTCGATAAGCAAAGTCTCCAGTGTGAAAACAGGCACTCAGTGACAGAGATATTAGTAAGATGTAAGGCGCAGCAATCATCGCGTTTTTGCTGATCAGGCCCAACCTGCTGGGCGTGCGGCAATGCAAGGCGGAGTATGGAGTCGGATCTGTTTCACTACTTCCTAGCCCGTTCCTGTGTATTTTTCACCTCAGAAAGTAGCACGCTGCCACTGCGAGCCTGCGCCCCCATTTTTTTTTCCCCCCAACACATGGCCAAACACCACGCATTCACGTTCTGCTTTAACTCAGCTACGCGATAGTGCCTCATTTCAGACGTACACAGCACAGCATTTCACTGATGAATAAAGTAGAAAATGCTTAAATAGCGTGATGAAACCTGAGCCGGAGTTTTCGAGTACTTCTTGGCCAACTGCTTCACATTCGGATCGTCCAGATCCTTCGGAGCCTCTTTCCAACCGAATTTGCTGAAAACAGGTGAAAAACAATTTGGCCCAAAGTTCGAGAAATTCAACACTCTTCAGCTAACCAAATCGGAATTGATACAAAGCAGATTCGCTATTTTTCGGATTTAAGCTAAAGTGCACGTGAGCGGAACAGTTCGAAGGTATAGACCAGCAAAATGAAACTTGGTCGAACTGGGGCCAAAACATTGTAGTCAAAGTCTGTTTTCAATTAAGCATGAAGGATAACACGCATTCATTCCTTTTTACGCAGGGCTGAGAAAATAGATACAGCTTATATCGCTGCAATCAGTCGGGGCGGTGTCAGGAAGCATGGAATGTGCTCCTTTGCGATCTTTTCTGCCACTGGTTGCCTTTTCACTGGATCGATCACTGACCAACATAACCTCTAGAAAACGTAGCGGGAGTGTGCTCATTTTGAGTCTTCCGCCACAAGCTCTTGTGAGTGAGACCATATCAACTATAGTTCTATCGTGAGGCAAATTTTTATACACCATCCGTAAACTCACTCTGGCATGAATTGTGCTCGACCAGGTGATCCCAGAGTGGCATAGGAAGTGAGTGAAACATTATGTTTCTTGCAGATCTCGTGAAGTTCATGTTGAGGCCAGTAAAGGTGCAGCTCTACCTAAAAGATACAACTCATAATAGGGAAAATAAAAATCAGTCCCCCAACAGACTTTGCAAGTGCATCACCTGATGGTACGGTAGCAGTCTTGAGCACACGTTCAATTTGTTCGCCGTTCCAGTTCGACACACCGATTGCTTTAGTCAATCCCTTCTTATAGACACCTTCCAGCCCTCGCCATATATCTTGTACTGTCACTGATTTATTTTGCGCCGACATGTCATGCTGCAAAAATGATTTTAAGAGTCTGGAACATCGTCTAAAAGGATGAAAGAATCATGAATGTCTAATTAGCTGGAAAAGATGTAGGGCTGACGGAAAAACCTGAAATTTCAAAATTCCCTGAAAGACCTTAAAGACCCGTTTTTTGTCTCTACCCTCCCTTTGCATGGAGACTTTTGCCAATCGTGTCTCTGAACTTCCTGATTGTTACCACGGATTAATTCCTCATACTGGTACTTCACGGTTCCTTTGTCACCAACTCTCTTAAGTTAGTACCGAATCCATCGTAATGGAATACGGATGTAGTCCCTAGACGCACACGGAATTTTCAGTGCTTCCTACCACTTTTCCCCAATGTTCCCAAGAAACTTTCAGCTTTTCGCAAAAAAAACTGGCACTAAGAGAGGCGGAGAGGTGGTCATCCCTCAACTATTAGCTTTACTATCAGAGGTAATGATTGTGTAGTAGTTCTGGAATCAGGCAAAGTCAACAAATTTATCTTTTTTATTTATTTATCGGAACAAATTTATCGCGATTCGGAAAAATCTCCAGGGCAGATACGACTACCTACGATCTAATACTCCCACCCCTTACCCATCGAGCAAAACGACCCCATGATGGAAATCCCGCAACGACGCTCTACGCTATGCCTCACCTCTTTGATGCCACTTGGAACATCAGTAATGACCAGCACTTCTGAAGCCATCTTTAGCTGAAGAGTCAACGCTCAAGGAAGTGGGATAGATTCAATTGAAACAAGTCCTCACATTGAAGCAAGTCGGCATATGGGACAGGTACAGGTCCACATATGTCATTTGGAGTTTACGAAGGGATTCGCGTATTGCTCCTTCGGTGTCGTCCGGATGCTCATGTGTGATCCATACCTGAAACATGACTTTTCTACCTTAAATGTCGAGATATTTCATACAGGACCACAAGGAAGCTAAAGCGTAGCTCTCACGAGACAGGCGCACGCATCGACGACTGAGATCGATTTTTCTAAAAGACCTTACCTTGTGGTGATGAAACAGATCCTCACGCTTGATTTTGCCTGCACTGATCAGTTCCTTGATTGCTTCTCCAATGGCCTCTTCATTTTGGTAGACTGCAGCTGTATCGATCAAACGATTAACCCGGACTCCGATAGCAGGTCTTTACAGCTGACTTTCACCATCCTCGAGGCGGCGAACGGAAACCGCAGAAATCCGTGACCTACCTACCAGAAATCACTTTTACATTGAAAAAAAGCTAAAACTCCATTCATTCAGCCACTAGTAAATGTTACTGATTCAGAGCATGGAAAACTGAAATAAACAAGGATATTTCGCCTCAACGGCAGAAGAGACTTCAGACGGCTGTTGTCAAACGTTCGAAGTCCGGACTCCGTCGCCAGATAGATCTCATTTCCACTGCAGCCTTCATTTCATTTTTGAAAACTGTTATTTGAAGTTAAACTTGTGTAGTAGAACCTTCCTGAGATGGGTGGGCGTGAGCTACGTACCTCATTCGAAACAGGGGCGGTGCGTTTTCGAGATTTGGGTTCTTTTTAATTTTTCAGAGAATCTGGATCACGGTATTCCACATACAAGAAACAAGATGACTTGGCAGCAAGTCAATACTGGCTGAATAATCAACTCTTCGGCAATTTGGCGAATTGGAGCAGCAATCCACTATATATAATCCGCCTAAGTGTGTGTGTGTGTGTGTGTGTGTGTTGTGTGTGTGCGTCTGTCTGTCTGTCACGAAATTCATAGCGAGCGTCGCAGAAAAGATAGGATGACAGTTCCAAGAAGTGATATACATGGCAGGACGGGAACTTTTGGTGGGTGTCAGGAGGTGATAACACTTGATAAGATACGATAAGGGGCCGTAGAAGGGGAGGGTGACTTGAATATTCGTAGCGCAAGTTGCAGCAGGTGTGAGACCGGTGATTTGACGAAGTAATACATGGCAGGACGGGAACACTTTGGTGTGTGCAGGAGGTGATAACACTTGATAAGATTCGATAAGGGGCCTTAGAAGGGGGGGGGTGACCGAAATCGTAGCGCAAGTTGCAGCAGCTGCGGGACCGTGATTTCAAGGAGTGATATACATGGCAGGACGGGAACACTTTTGATGGGTGACAGGAGGTGATGACACTTGATAAGATTCGATAAGGGGCCTTAGAAGGGGGGTGACCAACATCTAGCGCAAGTTGCAGCAACTGCGGGACCGTGATTTCAAAGGAGTAATAATGCAGGACAGGCAACACTTATGGGTGAGAGGAGGTACTGACACATTATAAATTCAGATAAGGGCTTAGAAGGGGGGGGGTTGACCAAGGCATCATAGCGCAAGTTGCAGCAAGTCTGCGGGACCGTGATTTCAAGAAGTGATATACATGGCAGGACGGGAACACTTTTGATGGGTGACAGGAGGTGATGACACTTGATAAGATTCGATAAGGGGCCTTAGAAGGGGGGGACCAACATCTAGCGCAAGTTGCAGCAGCTGCGGGACCGTGATTTCAAGAAGTGATATACATGGCAGGACGGGAACACTTTTGATGGGTGACAGGAGGTGATGACATGATAAGATTCGATAAGGGGCCTTAGAAGGGGGGGGGTGACACCATCCTAGCCAAGTGTGCAGCAGCTGCTTTTTCTACCAGGACCGTGATTTCAAGAAGTGATATACATGGCAGGACGGGAACACTTTTGATGGGTGACAGGAGGTGATGACACTTGATAAGATTCGATAAGGGGCCTTAGAAGGGGGGGGGTGACCAACATCTAGCGCAAGTTGCAGCAGCTGCGGGACCGTGATTTCAAGGAGTGATATACATGGCAGGACGGGAACACTTTTGATGGGTGACAGGAGGTGATGACACTTGATGAAGATTCGATAAGGGGCCTTAGAAGGGGGGGTCGACCAACCATCTAGCGCATTGCAGCAGCTGCGGACCGGATTTCATAGACAGTGATAATACATGGCAGACGGGCGAACACTTTTGATGGGTGAATCAGAGGTGATGGACACGTATAAAGATTCGATAACGGGGGTGGGCCTTAGAAGGGGGGGTGACCAACATCTAGCGCAAGTTGCAGCAGCTGCGGGACCGTGATTTCAAGAAGTGATATACATGGCAGGACGGGAACACTTTTTTGGTGACCAGGAGTGATAAACTTGATCAAGATTCGATATAACGGAGCCTTCAAAAGGTGGAGGGTGACCGAATTCTTGCAAGTCTGCAGCACGGCCGGACTAGTGATTTCAGTCTGATATGCCGTAGGGTGGGGCTGGCAGAAGCTGATAGCAGTTGATAAGATCCGATAAGCCTCGGAAGAGGAGGGTCATCAAATTCGTGGCGCAGGTTACAGCAACAGTGGGAACTCAGATCCGTGAGGTGATATAGGGTGTGGGACGGGAACATTATTGGCGGGCGACAGAAAGTGATAACAGTTGATAAGATACGGTAAGCGGCCTCGGAAGGGGAGGGCCATCAGATTC